AGGACGAGAAGCTGGAAGAGTTCACCAAGGAGAAGGCGAAGCTCACAGAGGCGCTGGATTCTGAGCAGGCTCAGAATCAAATTTTGTCAAAGGAGCTCGTGCGACAAACACGGTTGTTAGAGCAGTGTCAGCTCGCACGACAGGCGGATGAGGAATTAATCCGCAGACTACAATCCGAGTGCGGGGAATTGAGAGCACAGCGTGCGGAGGCCGAATTGCAGTTGGTTGTAGTTGAAGACGATCGCCGGCCGGCGGCAGATCGCACGAAGGAAGAGATGGCGAGGCGAGTCACCCACTGTCTCAGGGGCTACGCTCACTGGGAAGTGGCGGCGCAGGAGAAACTCACACTGCGCGAGTTAGAGCTTCGTGCAGCCGGGTTGTTGGCAGGTGACAGTCGGAGTCGGCGGCGAGTGGCGAAGAAGCTAGACTCTTTTCTGTCGCGGTCGCGGGACACCATGGCCACCCTTGAGACGGAGGTTTTCGCGGTGTTGCGGCGTTTGGGACTGCGCAGTCGAGCTGAGGACTGGTAGGGTAGGGAGTTAGTGCGCGGCAGTCCGTCGCGTAGGAGGCGAAGCAAAGGTTCTGCGGAGTGTAGTGTAGCGTGGTTCCGTGCAGGCGTGTAGCGTAGTGCAGTGCAGTGCTAGTTAGTACTTAGAAGGTATAAAGTAGTTCAAGGCGTCTTGCCTTGGGATTTTTCCAGTTTCGGAAGTGCAGATCAGGAACTCATTTTCTCTACGTGTTTGTGTCCTTAGTTCTGTCACCACGCGAGAGAAGCTACACCTTAGCGATCCGCATTGTGTAGCTGAAGGCCTTCGGCCGAATGTTTAGAGCTAGTACATTGGTTAGAGACTTGAGTAGTTCGGATTTACACATGCGGGTGACTGCCGATGCTCAGAGCCAGTGACGAGTTAGATACTTGAATAGTTTCCCCCTTACACTTTCGAGTGATTGTTTCTGATTGTACTCCTTCGGGATTTTCCCCTGAATGCCAAAGTGAAGTTTTGCTACTTCGTGTAAGCCTTGGTTGTAAATTCAGGTTACGCTGCAGCAGGTGCCTTCAGGGTAACCCTTGTAGTATTTCTGGGAATGACAAGTGCATAAGAATTCAAACTCGTCAATAGACTGTTATGGTGTGCTACTGGATCGTTTCTCAGTTGAGTCCCTCCGTGCGGACCTGTGTTCTCTGCGCGTTTTGTGAGTTGAGAGTGTTGTTCACCGCGTGTGAGTGACTTCGATCCGAAGTAGGAAGTCCGACCCGGGTTCCCTACGCTAGCAGAATGCTAGTGGAAGGGTTGTAAAAGCCGGAGTTGGGAGTCACTACCCGCAGATTCGCTGAGTGTACTCGCGAGAGACTTTCCCCCCTGAAATCTTAAGTGGAGGTCCTAACCGATCTCTGGGTTGTGTTTCTGTAGTTTCAGGTGTGTGTGTTGTACGCTGCACTGTGCGACCCCCGAGTGAGTTCCGAGTGAACACTTGCAGTATTTCTGGGAGTGACAGTCGCCTGAGAATTCAAACTCCTCAATAGTCTGTTAAATGTGACACTTTGTACCCTGTGTGTTCCTCTGTCCCTGTGGGTTCGACCTTTCTACTACTATATTGCAGTTTTAGCCTTTAGTGGGTTTTTACAGAAGGGTGCCTTATGGGCAAAGAGGAGCGATAATGGAAAAATAAAGTAGAAGATAGCTACATCTTCTGTCTAAGATTGAGTAAATCCTATCTCAAAACCTCTGAACACAATGTCTTAGTTCGTTCAGTCTTAATTCTGCATCTCCCTATCTAGTATCTAAGGTTCTCTCCATCCATTACTATGTTTACATGTGAGATGCTAAATCCGTCCATTAAACTAGTACTCTAAACCCTTTCTTCAAAAACTTAGACTAGGTGACAGGTTGTCATTTCTCAACTTAAAAGTCGGTGTTTTTAGTTCATCTTGGATTTGAGAATGTGAACATGTGTTTCAACAAGTTTTTTTAACGGTTTGGCTGTATCAACAGCGTCATAGTTGCCAACCTGCGTAGTGGTGGTATAAAATGTAGTAGTCTCCTAATTGATTAATCCTGAAGAGAACGGGAATTCGAGAAGAATGCATAGTAAGGACGAAAGAATTTGCTATTTGTATTCCATAGTACAAATAGTTCATTGTACAGTCAAATAGCTAGCTGATGAAATGTGCAGACGATAGACAACTCTCCTTCCCTGTAGCTCCTAGCTGCGTCGAGGTATATCCAAAGAAAGAAATTGAAGTACTTTGAACTTCATTGATAGTTTGAAACTGAAATAGAAATTGATAGTTTGACACTCAATCAGGCCATTCATAAGAGATGCATTCTCACCTGAAGAACTGCGACTTGGAGGTGTTAGGAGATCCACACTACAAATTGAGAAATGTGCGAACGAGTTAGGGGTCAGAACTTCAACATCGGCTCTCTCTAAACTTTCCACAAGCAATAAAACCTGGAAAATGGAAACCTGGAAACTGAGGTATCACCAACCTGCCAACCCTGAGTCCCCGACCATATGTTGGTTCAATTTACCATCATGAGTGTCTTCTGTGAAACCTGCACGGAGTTGATGATCATTACCTGCTTCGACTTCTCCTTTCCGACGACGTGCAATCTTGGGCTTACTTTAACTCTTACGCACCTAAGATCATCCCCATGAACATCGAGCTTCTCTTGTTCTGATAACATCATGAATTCTCCGATCCCTCATGCCACGCAAGATTAGATTGCAGAGGATGAATCTGCAATCATTTCCGAACGTGCGGGTGGAATTGACTGTCCACGAGACAATACCCGCACTCCAGGGGGTTTCTTCTTCTTCAGATACAGCCTTGTCGACTTCAGAGTTTCGTGAAAAACTCGCACGAACATTCTGTCCAAGTAAGAGAGTGAGCGCGCGAAATGCTAAAACCTGGATTACGGTGATGGTGACCCGCAAACGGTGTACCCTCGCCGTCAGCCCGAATGGGATACGGTTGGGGTTGATCAAACCAAAAGTGTTATAAGGGTCTCTAGTTTAAAGAGGGCATATAATAGATTTCCTCCTAGAACTTTACAAAGATTAATTATATGGGTTAGGGTAGTTCTTGTTCCCACAACATGAGTCAATGAAGAGATTGTTAATATAAACTTATATTTGAACTAAACTCTAGTTAGGATTAGGTTGAGGCTTCTTCTATAGAGAAACTCTAACTATCTAGAGTTTAGAGTTTATGTTGTTCACTATAAAGAAGGTGAGCTATAGCTATACTAAAACATTTGTAGATTCTAATAGATTTTTTAGTCCACGGAACCAGAAAGAAGTAGCCCCACATTGGCTAACCACATATCTTTGAATTGAGTTCTGGTGAAATGAGTTTACTTATATGCTTGTGTGTTCTTTATTTTCGTAAATTTTTTGTTTCTAGTTTCAACAATTGGATTTGCTATGAGATAGAATATTCTCTCATTATTACCATGAAGATATGAAACATCTATTTACAATTTTAACGATAAAATTTTATTCAACCAAGTAGATTCATTAAAAATCTACTTTGAGCTTTCATCTTCAGCTTTTGTAGTTGATTGAACTACGTATTTTTAAAGTGCGAATCTAACCAAGACATATATTATTTAAATGATTGTAGATTTTTTATTGTCCATATCTTGTTAATATTCAACATCAGCATAATTTAACAAGCAAATTGTTGAATAAATTATCGAAAAATATCATAACCTTTGAAAATACTTAAGTATCTGAAAATATGCATTGGATCTTTAAAATATAAATTTGAGTACACAATTAGTTTAGGCTAGGTTACGAAAGTATTGAAGAAGCAGGTGTATAAGTTTTGGATGATATCATTTAAAATGAAGAAAGTATTGTTACATTTTATTTTTTCAAGGATTATCTTGTGATCAAAGCTTGACATTTGGAGATATTCCAATTTTAGTTTTTGTATTGACTCAATCCGCATGAGAGGTTATTTGAAGACTAGTGAAAAATAGATTATCACTTATGTTAGAAGCATACCAGCAGCATCTCGTGGACCCATGCCTTTAGTAAAGTAAGTCTATCATATAGCAGGTCCATACAAATATAACTCTTACGTCGATCACATATACTATTAGTATGGAAATTTTATTGTAATATTAACATGATCAGGGGGCTATATGTTCATTCCACTGGATGTAAGAAGATGAAATCAGAAAAACGCAAAAGAAATCCTGGATAACCATCTGATCAGAGAGTTCCTCCTTTGAGCTGACGAGGAAGAAAAGGTTGCTGTACGGCCTTTACAAGTCGACGACTTCTCTGAATATCACTGCACATGGGCTGGATTTATGCTTCATCATGTGGTCAGCTGAAAATAGAGCCAGCCACCTTCAATGCGTCACCTCTGTGGACTCGAGGGGATGCCCCAAGAGGAAGAGGGAGAGCTACTCCCGAACCTGAGCTGCCAACGTCAACATTTTAGGAAGAGAGAACAGGTTCTCGAGGCACTGACGGTTTTGTGTGAGAGATGAGGTTGGATGATTGAACTTGGAAATGGTCCAATTTCGAGTCTCCTGTTCAGGCATGGTTATATTAGTCGGTGGCTAAATAAGGTTAATTTAGTCGTATTAAGAAATATAATCTAGTTAATTTATACGTTTTTGTGCTAAAACCAGCCTTGAGTGCACTTGAAAGTTAATGAGGGTTTCGGAGAGAGTCACCGTCACTCGCGGGTTGCAGTCCGATTGTGAGTCTCGCGGCGAGAGAAAATTCAATTTACAGGTGAGTTATGAGAATGAAGTGGCTGAGATCTCTCCCGATGTAATTCTGAGCCAATCACAATCCAGATGCTCCGATTAATTTAGGCGCTAGAAGGAGTTAATTTAGGCGCCTCGGTATACCGGAGCCTAAAATAACCATGCCTGGTGATGTTTGATTGTTGTTTACTTCCACTCGGATAAGAGTATCCATGGAATGCAAGCAGAAATTGCATTTCAACCGCAAAATGCTGTGACACTGACGTCAACACTTGTATCCAAAACGAGAGTACTGTGCCACCTTGTACAGTACTCAGCGCTGGAAGTGAAGCAGACGGAGAACCGACGGATGATTTGAGCTTGTGATGTCATGAGTGCTCTCCATTGTGCGCTCCTTTACTTGCAGAATCAACCAGCACGGCAGCTCAAGCCACTTGCAAGCCCTCAGCCTGGTAGATCTTCGGCCCGTACCATCCTTCGTCTGTGCTGCTGGCCGATTCTGTCCGAGGCAGAATGTGCGATTCTGCCTGGTTCTGCGATTCAGACGTGATGTGGAAAGAAGAGATTAAATCCCTCGTCGTGGACCGATCGATACCCAGGAAGCTGAACCAAAACCGTCGTCATAGGGGCGTCGTGATTTCTTGTGGCATGGCTGCCACTTCATGTACTTGCAAAGAATCATCTTTCCTCATTTCTGTCTTTCATCAAAGAATCGTGTACCCACAAATTGTGTCTTATGAACTCTGTCAAATAATTCTGAATGTGAGAACCACTTACTTTTTAAGAAACTCGATATTCTGGCAGGAGCTGTTTCATGCCATAAGAATTGCTGATCGAGTATACACGGAACGTGCACAGATCCATGATCGTCGTCTTATGCACTATAATATCAGAATGATACTCTACAGATTATGCATGAAGATTCCTCGAGGTAGAGCTAAAGCATTCCGTGGGGCTAAAGCATGCCGAAGCTCCGAATCGGCCGATCACGTGCCACGTTCGTAAGAAACAGTCTCGCAGTGCGCCAAGCAACTATTCTTCTCTCTGATCTCTGAGACAAGTTTGAATCTCTGGTCGTAAGCCTTGGTGCTGCTTGGAACTTGGAAGAGGTTAAGCGGCGGTAAGCGTGTGCTGCTCTGGGGAGTCAGCGCATTTGGAAGACTATGAAGACGATATCCGAAGGATCAGACCCCAAACAGTAGCCCAGTTGGCGTGCACGGAGGGTGAAGACTACATCAGTGCAACTTTCTCCGGTACAGAGCTGTGGCATCGAGCCAAGACGTCAATCCACTACTGTAGTCTAGCATAAAAGACAGTCGTGACATTCCAGACCAAACTAGTGATCTCGGATAAAGGCTCTTTTAAACATGTTTGGTGATATTCATCGTTCAGGTGTTTGGCGCTGCAGTTGGGATTGCACAAGCTTCGCTCGCGCATGGACTGGATGATGTAGACTTGAAGCTTCGAGTGAGTTGGGCAAGTCGAGCTCGAATGGTCACACGTGAAGCTTCAACAACTTGCAGAGCATTTGGAGAGGGATCAGAGGAAGGGTCTCGTCTCGGCACACGACAAGTGGAGATTCAGTCAACAATCCAGGAGCTCGAGAGAATTTGAAGAGCGAGCAGAGGGAGGAAGGTTGAGTAATGGGAATTGTACTATTGAAGCTTCCAGTGAGTTTGGCAAGTCTAGCTCAAAAGAGAACAAGTGGATTTTCAGCGTCCTGTAAACCATGAGGAGAGAGAACAGAGGAAGGTTCTCGTCTCAGCACACGACAACTGGAGCTTCAGTCAACAATCCAGAAGCTTGAGAGCATTTGAAGAGCGAACAGATGAAGGTCGATCCGCAGGATTCCGCAAGGGGGTCGGACAGGAACACATTTCCAAGCAGAGAGAAGTTCTGTCACCAAAACGACCGTAGGAATCGATTCGATTGGGATTGTCTCGTAACGCTTGCCATTTCACTCCAAATGCCATATCCGTAACAGTTGCGGGGGAGTGCAGCAGCAGCAGAATGTGAAGTACATGAACATCTGCGGGAACTGAATGGCTGGGCACAAGGCTCCTGGCCGCCGCTGGTATGTCGAGGCTAGAAGCGAAGGACAGAATCATATGCAGGCTCGACATTTTAGTGAACATCTTCTGTCGCAGCCGGAGAATGTAGTACAAGAGCCATTGATTTGCCCTGATTGAAATCTGGTCCGGAATAACCATTGAAATCTGTCATTGAGTTTCGTTCAGGAACAGAGGAAGCTAGCTCGAGCTACAGGTGCCCTGAGTTGGTGTTAGAATGGAGGCGATGGTGAATTGGGAGTCATCGTGGCTCTCGTACCTGGTGGCTGCGATCACTACCGTCGTAGCAATACTGCTGTACTTCCGACTCTCGCACTGGCAGGAATCTCGTGCTGACCGCGAGCGCAACCTTCCTCCTGCTCCCTACTACTATCCTTTGGTGGGCAATCTGCCATCGCTGGTGGGAGACTTCCCCTTCAAGAGCTTGGCCAAGCTGTCATGGAACAACAGATGGCCCATATTCAGGTTGAAGCTATCGGGGCATGCTGGGCCTTCGACGTATGTCATCTCCAGTCTAGAGCTGGCGCATGAAGTGCTGAAAAGCTCTGGGCTCGAGTTCGCCTGTCGGAACGTGGGTGTGAACTTCGCCTTCCGAATGCTGTCGCAGGACGCCAGAGGTGCTCCGAGAGGAGTTTCTGGCAACACTCTCAGAGGCACTTGGCGCAACGCCAGACGAGTGATGGTGAACGGACTCGTCCAGACCAGGAAAGTGTTCGGCGATGCTTTGCTCGTCCGAGACCTGGAGCAAAGCTTCCGAGCACTGGAGGCAGATGGCCACGCCGATGGCCACTATGTCCACGTTCTCCTGCCGCACATCGCTCAATATCTTGTCAACCATACTCTGCACTTCGTGTATGGGTACCAGGGTGAGAATTCGATGGGCCAGCAAATCAATGCTCACAACGAGACCGTCGTCATGTGCTTGACCAAAGCTCAGCAGTGTCTTTTCTTTCCCATCTTGCAGCCTTTTCTGCAACCCCAGTACACCAAAGTTATGGAGCAAACCTTGCAGCGAAAGTACCAACTGCATGAAACTCTTCTTTCACAACGGGAGATGTAAGTCTGCACAGATCACGCTTATCTCCGGATCTATCTGGCCTTGAGTGAGCAGTTTTAATCCCCATTCTTAGTCTCTGGGAAATTCCAGATCGATGCTTGGTAGGGATTATACATAAATCGTGAGTTTGTAGCTCGATAACGACTGAGGAGCAGTTCATCTAAATGCTCTGGATGCCATGCTTACTGTAGATCTCGGAGATGGGGTGAATTTCTTCTCATAGAACATGCTTTTATCTGATACTGAGGCTGATTTGGATGCCACATATGCAAATGGATTTGCAGAATTCGTGCAAAGCAAGGAAATTCCTCTTGGTACTTTTGTGATACTTGTCTGGAGGCTGAGAAGACGGGTGAAATCACTCACGATGACGCCCTCCACATAATCGACGAAATTTTTCTGGCAGGTCAGTAGGATATTCTTCACGCGAATTTATCATCGCCACTGGTCCTATGTACGACAGTCCAGAAACGCAGACAAGTCTGTGTATGTGTGCATCTTTATCTGCCCCTGTCACGTCGACTCTGGTGTTTCTATTGCTATTCAAGTTTCTACAAAAGTTTTTCGTTACGAAAACTGAAATTCAGGATTTATTGTACATGGATAGCGACTGACAGGAACTGGAAGGGTTAACTAGAAATCGCAATATGAAAATATTGTGCAGGAGTGATGACCACAGCAGCCACCATCGAGTGGGGTCTGGGTGAGCTGGTTAACCAACAGGGCATCATCAAGAAGCTTCAGCAAGAAATGGACGCCATGATAGGCGTTGGAGTGCCACTGCGTGCCAACGACATAGACAGACTTCCATACTTGAAAGCCACCATCAAAGAAATATTTCGCATGCATCCGGCCGTGCCTCTGCTGGTTCCTCATATGAATCCAGAAGATGCAAAGCTCGGGTCCTACGACATTCCGAAAGAATCGCTGGCGATGGTCAACGTATGGAAGCTTCAGCGAGATCCTGAATTGTGGCACGAGCCCAATGTCTTCAACCCTGACAGATTCCTGGAGCATCCTGAAATTGATGTCTGCGGCATGGATAACCGACTGCTCCCTTTCGGGGCCGGAAGACGCATGTGTCCAGGCCTGTCAGTGGGCTTGCTCAATACCCAGATGTGGATCGGCCGCCTCGTTCAGAGGTATCACATCACTCTTCCCCAGGGAGTGCAGAATTTGGATCTGACTCCGAAGTTTGGAGCATCCGTTGTTATAAAAAACGGACTTCGAGTGTGTTTGAAGAGACGCCAGTAGTCGATCCAATTTCAGCTTTGTTGCTAGTTGGCCACCTATGGTCTTCAGATGATCCAGAAGTTCCGTTTTGCAGACATCAAAAGAATTGGACCAAGTCATCCGTGTCCAAAGACGTGTAAATATGCTGTACAAGATTTCTACATAATAGACAGCAAAACTGTCAGTTGTATAGTCGGCAGTAATGGTTTCAGAGGTATCGTTCTGCAGACTTCAACAGAATCGGACCAAGTCATCCGAGTCCAGTGAGGTGTAAATATGCTGTAAAAGTTCTCTACGAAATAGACAACAGAACTGTCAGCTGTATAGTCGGCAGTAATGACTTCAGCTGCATTACCTTTCTTCGGCAGAGTTTAGGCGCAAAGTTTGTCCAACGAGACGACTCGCTTGCTTACCATGTTGTGCTTACGGAGTCAGACAAATAGCACGCCATGGTACAGCCCTGTATCGAAAATGTATCTACCATCTTTTACCACTTATACAGTCGAGAGCTTAACTTCGATCGGAAAACTGCGAATTCAGGTATTCAGATTGTCATGAAAACAGCTCTCACTACGCTAGTATTTGACCGTCAGAGTCAGAAGATTTTAGACCCCGCTCTGTTACTGGCCTTGCCAGTAACAGAGTACGAGGGATGGAGCAGTAGAGTTATGAGGAGATTAAGACTAAGGGACTCAAGAGTCATTGCTATTTGAGCTCTTAGAGGACCTCTCTTAGCTTATTTTGGAAAGATTTGTCCCGAACGATGAGCTTGGTCCGAAGTTGCAACTGCAAGTGTCAGCCCAGAAACCTTCACCAGCTCATGAACCTGTCCAGGTCTACAGCCTCATAAAGATGTCAATGACCAAGTACCCAGAGTCAGGACTTGAAATTGTGAACACACTTCAGTCTTGAAGAACTTCATTACATTATTTATCAACAAGGACCTTCGAGTGGAAATTACGACTGTATAATGAGGAGGTCGACCAGCGCGACTGACGCCTCATCTTTGGATGAGTCAGAGTAAAAGTGTACCTGAAGACATTTTAGCTCTAACAGGTATACATCCCTGCAATGCACTGGTGGAAGAAACGGGTCCCATCACAACCAAGTGGCTGTATTACTGACAACTAATTCGGTCAGCTTGTGAAGCAAGTCCTTGTGAACTAGGGAGCTGTTTGTAATCATGATCTTTTATAACATGACATACATTAAAAATTGCGTCCGCTGCTAGTGGGTGACCACCGAAGTGATTCGAGCTTCTACCAACAAAGCGCTCCCACTTGGTCGAGACGGGCGTGTAGATGAAGTTGTCACAGACATATGCAGCCAAGACAACAAATATCATCCAACCACACCAAGTCGATTTAGAAAAGGCCTAGGTTTTGTACATAGCCATCCCGGCCCTAAGTGAATTCGTCACCACAGATCAAGCGGCAGATGATGGTAACCTTCTGTTTCTGGAGCTGTCATCGGTAGCCGGTCACGTTGTCGAAGGCCAGGTACAATTCTGGGATCCTTCTCAGTGCTTCTGGCACAGGTCCCGACAGCTTGTTGAAAGAAAGGTCGAGTCTGGTCAGAGCTGGCGCATTGGCTATATCTGCAGGAATGCGTCCAGTGAATTTGCAATAGGAAAGGTCCAGCTCCCTCAGGAAGGTCAACTCGCCAATGCTTGCAGGAAGACTGCCAGAGAGTGAGTTGAACGAGGCATCGAAGAAGAAGGTATTGTGTTTCAGCTTCGAAGGCAGAGGACCCGACAAATAGTTGTGAGAAACATCTATCTGGAAGAACTTCATCGCATCGTCTGGGCCCCAATACTGAGGAAAGCGACCCCAGATGCGGTTGTTGTTGAGGATCAAGGAGCCCAGACGAGGCATGTTGTAGATTACGCTGGGTATCTCTCCCCAGAAGCTGTTGTTGCCCAGATCCAAGCCGATGAGGTTGCTCAGAGCCGCAATGGAGTGAGGAATTTTCCCGTACAGCCTGTTCGAGTGCAGATTCAGCGCTTCCAGAGACTTCATGTATGCGATCTGTGGTGGGATAGATCCCGTGAACTGATTGTGGTCGAGCTCCAAAACTCTGAGGTGGCGAAGATTGGTGATGGATTTGGGAAGCTCTCCACGCAAGTTGTTCCAAGAGAGTCTGAGCTTTTTGAGCGTGCTCAGCTTGCCGATGGTGGCTGGCAGCTTGCCTGTCAACCCTCCCACACCGGTGAAGCCCGGCATTGTATTGAAAATTGAGATGGATTCTATGCTAGTCCATCGATCGATGCAGCTGGGGATGCTTCCGGACAGCTGGGGGTTGTAAAACAAGAACAAGTGCTTGAGCTTGTGAAGGCTGCACAGCTCTTGGGGAATGCCCGTCGTACCCACCATACCTTGTCCGAAGTAGTCCGGAGACACTGTATCCACGCGCAAAGTCTCCAGGTTACTCAATCGGCCATACTCGCCAGGAATTTCTCCAATGATGTTACAAGCTATGAGCGACAGCCTCCTGAGCTTGGTGATGTTGGCGAACGCTTTGGGCAGCGGCTGAGACATCTGGACGAATCTCATCTCGATGTCCTGCAGCTCCTTGAGCTCTGCGAGAGGTCGTCCAAACGGTCTCCTCTCGTTGCCTCGAATTCCGAATGACGATGGTGGCCTGAAGAACGAAGTGACCTTGATTTTCTTGACCCGGCCCCTGGAGTCACAGCTGATGCCTTCCCAATCCGTGCAGCAGTCGCTGTCGCTCGTCCAGCTATCGAGCGGGCAGGTGACGCCCGGATCGATGTCGTCACTGCACGTGAAGTCCCTTCTGAAGTCGAGAAGAGCTGCTTCATCAGCAGCTTTGCATGTCTTCGGTGCTCGAGCTTGAGCACTCGCACGCACCGATAGCAATACTAGCACAGTCACGCAGGTCCAGCCCATAGCTGTGCCTGCCATGGATTCTGTGCACTTTCTAGATGTCGGCCTAATCAGAACCCACTATGGCGGAAAAACTCACTTGAACCTGCAAGAAAGAGGCAATGAAACTCGAAAATCAGAAATCAATCCCGTCGAGTGTACTAGTTCGTCTGTTCTGCTCGATGCAGGTCTGTGCCTCTCGGAGGCAACTTGGATGAGTAGACCACCTTCTTCAAGATGAAGCGCTCCTGCTCCTAACGAGATAAATTTCTTAATCCCTCAGCTAATTCTGCAAGCTAGAAACTATGCACTGAATTCGTAAAGTCGAATTATGACGACGATTGTATTGTCATTGCGCATCTTCCTGGTCCAGTGTGTTGCCATATTTCCGTATGGAAAGACGCGCGAAGTTCACAACCAAAGTTGAGCCGAATGGGATCAACTTGCTAAATGCCAGACGACGAGAGGAATGACCAAAACTAGATCCGAGGCCATATGAGCAATCTGACATAAACAACTCGAAGAATCTTCAGTGCTGCCGTAACCAGTGGGCCGCACTGACTGGGCATGGATCGGGATGCAATAGCGAATCGAGTGCGTCATTCGAAGTGCATCTGGGACCTCAGCAGATACGTACGTACCTGATTTGAGGTTGTTAACTACGGATCACCATTATCCGCTTTGAATTCCGACCGAGTGCATGATCAATGCAGTACGAGGATGAGAACTTCTCCCGAGAGCGTCCTAAAGCGTAGATCTGAGAAAGGAGAAACCTGATGCTTTGCAGATTTCATGTACTGACTAAGCTCAGAGCTGATGTCGGATGAACCGCCGGTCGTGGACGTGCAGAGCCAACTCAAGGGTCACAGTGGTTCATCGTGAAGCATCTCACGGTAGCGCCCGAGATTGAGCCGCAGCTGAAGCCGAGGCCACGGATCTGAGCTGATGGGCTTGTGTCACGGCACGAGGGAATTAAATTTTAAGGCTAACCTTCGCTTCGAGTTCTGCATGGTCCACATAATTTTCGACTGCAGTCGGACTGTGCAGATCCTCCTCATGATCAGGAGGAGCTCGAAGCATTTGGTGCAGTGAAACTGGGAAAGTGCATACCAAGTGCACCGAGTGACGAACATGGTCGACATATCTATGGCTCAGTTGCTGGGTGCGGTTGACATGTGGACAGGTCTTATCAGTCTCAGTGAGACGAAGCGGCCACTTCGCATGAAAAGAATTTGGACCACGTGAGGAGTTTGACTCGGATCCATTGAAACCCGCTTCCTCGCCAAGCAATTCACCAGTTCATTTTGAGTGGATCGATGCAGCTCCCTCATCTTCCGGCTCATCTTATAGGCATGTCTATCATGTTCCCAACCGTGAATGATGTCCTCGGAATCGTAGCTGGCGACATTCAAGTGTGGCCATCCGCTCGATAGTCTAGTGTTATCCAACATTCGATTCGATTTTCTTCTGTCAGGCCGCGTCCAAGATGTCTTGCGGATTCATGTTCGACAAGTAACTACAGGCAGCTGCATTGTTTGCTCTGTACAATTCATTGACCTGACATGGAGCTGCAACTGCTAGTCACGCTATTGTTCATGAAGAGGTCACTCGATCCAGTCTTTTGGGCAAGATTTTGATCGCGAGGGAATAAGAAGACTTTGATCACTGGCCGTGTAGGTGGTTCGAGTTCGGCTTTGGTCCTGATGCAGCTCTAAGAAGGGTCATCGCGATCGTGCTTCTCGAGCTTGGGCTTGACAATTCTATTGAGCTCATGCTTGTTTGCGTACTCCCGATCGCCCTCGGACGATCGGGAGTACGTTCAACTTTACATTGGCTCTTGAAACTTAGTGTTATTAAGCTCGTCCGTGCCAGGTACACACCACCATCAACTTCTGCCTGCTTCAAAATTAAGCTCACAGGTTTCCTGGTTCCATGCATGACTGCATGTGGTGGCACAATGAAACAGCGACGGGGGTTCCAGAATTGCGCGTTTCACGTGTCTGGTGATTTACTTGCCGTCTTCAGCATCGACATAGCTCTCAGTCTGCGCTTCATCTTCTCACAAGCTCGACATAGAATCTGTCACGAGTACAAGCGAGCGCAGAAAAACTTCCTTTTCTTTGTGTGGTTTTCGAAGGCAGTGCATGCACCACTTCCTAGAGTTTCCCAGTCTATGAACTAAATGCAATATCTCTTAGGGTGGTGTATTTTGGCTACCATTGTACATAGAGCAAACTTGTGTACTGATTGGCTGAGAATTTTACAATCTTACTTCAACTCTCTCTTAATGTTTTTTCTTATAGCTCCCAAGTTACTCCTAACTACAAGTTAAAATAAAATTTCTACTTTACTACAGAGTTAAACCTCCCAATAGTGACATATATTGGTACTTGGGTTTTAAGCCACTATTACAAGGTGTGAGTAAAGTGAGTATAACATACTAATAGTAACATACATTGCTGTTAACATTAAATGTCATTGTTGTGAGGTGCATAATTTTAATTTAACCTCCTAATAGTAACATACAAGGCGTTGGGGTTAGATGTCACTATTGGGAGGTGTCAATTAAAAAAATTAAAGTTTCATAGATTTCTTATCGTGCATTGCATCAACCCTAAGATATTCTATAAATTTGTTGTTTGGTTTCAAAATGGCCTTCATGGTCAACATGGACATTATAATTACATTTAAATTTAGATTAATAGACACACATCTTAGTGAAACAATTAATGATAATATATGTAGCAAATTATGGGTCTAGGGTTAAAACCTAAACCCTTAGTTAAATCCAGAAAGTGTGAATTGTTGAGATATACCTTTAAATATATTTATGCCACATTTTTGTAGTCTCATAACTATGTATTGTGATAATGATAGAAATTTTTATTTTGAAATTATATTTGAAATTGTCACTATTGTATAGTATCATGTCACTATTGGGAATAGTGACGTACCGTTATTATTGAGCAGATTTACACGTTAGAAACTAATGGTTCTGGGATTCTACGATGTCCCTCATAAGAGGTGACACTATTGGGAGGTTTAACTCTGTATTCACATTTTAAAAAATAACATAATTCTTTAAACATGAAAATTTTCTTTTATTGTAAAACTACTTGATCACCCTATTTGGTGTGAAGAAAACATTGAGATCAGACATTCAACTCCTTCATATCAAGAAATTCTTATCAATACATCTTATAAATCAATGATTTCAAAATTATCTCAAACGAAAATTACGTTTTTTATCACATCGAAGATTTTCTTGCTTTAGGTATATTTAGTCAATTGAGACAAGAAAAAATTCATTACTAACTATTTTGGACCATTATTTCCAAATCATAACATCCCAATTAAAAACAATTTCACCAATATATATCATTACCATTTTTTTTTCGAATAATTGATGTGTGATTAAGAATAACTAAACTCTGAATATCATCCTATAATTGCAGTTCATTATCTAAGCATATTATCAAAGAAGTAAAGATTTAATTTAGAAATTAGGTTTGTTTTGATATGTCATATCAAATAAAAGAAGTTTTATTACTTAGTCATATTACAAATATTTTTGAGTTGACATGCATGAAATATTTTATTTATCATTTTTATAATTCATACATTTTATAGAATCTAATTATTGTGTATTGATTGGAGAATTTATTAAAATTCCTTATGCTCATAGTGATATATGCCATGATACTTTTACATTTTAAAGAAAATAAATATTTCTAAAACTTATCATTCATATTTATTTCACAAGATATTTTGATTTCATCACATATAAACATTTGCTTTGCAAAAATTATATGTTTCCTATTATATTTATAAAATACAAAAAATTTTGTCATCATTTGATTTTGATATTATTTACTTGCTAAATTTAATTCAAAAAATTAAAAATATACAATTTTGTAAATATTCTATTTTTTGATATCTATCTTTTGTGTTTTATTTCATATTAAGAAAAAATTTAAGCAAAAATGTTATGTTATTTTTTTGATTTAATTCTACTTTGCAGCTTTGTAAATTTTGAAAAGACTTTTTTTTGTGATCTAACAAATGTAAAGTTTAAAAAATGCCTATGGAGGGAAACATTATTGAAAGATCAGTAGTTATTATCAAATGATGAACTCTAACAGAAACATTTGTAATTTTATTGTAATAAATCAAGCTTCAAGTTTGCATTTACATGGCAAAAATGACGCTTTCCCGCTAATCATAAATAGTGTAATTAATTTCTCATAAAAAAATTAGCTTTTATCTTACACGTACTTATAGCAATTAAAAAGATATCAAATCTTTGCAATGTAACTTTTTTTTCAACAATGCAATCATACCGAACACAAAAAACTGAGATACCAAGATTGCATTTAAATGTAGCAACTCAAACTCTCGTTACTGGATTTTGCATTACATCTCCACCTAGTCATACGTTACATCTGCTGATCACATTCAGTTGTTTTTTTATGAAATCTAGAGCACATAAACAAACTCCCATGCTTTGAACTTTCAGAAATAATCAATGAATTTAATTTTTATCAAAAGATCTCTTCAAATCTTGTGTAAATAATATATTTTTCGATGGTCAACCAATTAACATGGAAAAAAGTCTTGCATACAGATATTATGATTAATTTTTTTCACTTTCACTCATCAATAGAAGCATATGAACTGCATATCGAAACTGTATGAACTTTTTCTATGCAATACCATGATATTTATAAGTAGTACTAGCATTGGAGCTATCTATATCTAAGGTTCACAAATAAATAAAGTATCTGGTTGAAAGATGTGTAATAATTTCATATTATTAACAAATTTGATATTGTTGTCAACATTTTGAAAATATGATCTCTTTGTACGTATATATGAAAGCATTTGGGATTGTGAGATCAAAAATATAAGAGGTTTTTGTTGGGAAAATTTCATCATATAAAATGGTTTATTTCAATAAACCTTGAATAATCATGGAGATTCCCACACAGCCATGTAAGTTACCGTTGATCTAGGCCAGTTGGACTTTCATAAGACACAGCAACCTATACAAAACAACTTTAGGGAAAATAAAATCTCTTTTCAATCTAAAAAAATAATGAAGTTTCACATATCACATACATCGAGTTTTACAAATTTAAGAAAATTTTCACTTTTTTGAATGAAGAAAACTACACTTCAATTTTCAGGACAATCAAATGAAGCGTGTTGGTGACAATGAGAGAGAGTGTTGTTGAGAGATGATAAGATTACTCCATATGCAACAACATTAGAGAAATCACTAATATTGCTACCAAAAGTTGCAAGAAAATAAAAGTTTACGGAGCCAGAAGCAACAAGACTTATGTTTATGTTCCAAGCATGCGCGTTGTTCAATCTAAATGTGTGATATGGAAAAGTCCTGTCTAATGAAGAACTGTACAGCAAATCAAACGAGACAAAAAGAAAATTAATCACCCCAAGCAGTGGGTATATAGCTGATTAGAACCTTTACATGAGTTAGATCTCACCTCTTTGACATGATTAAACAAATCAAGCTTCCGTAATATCATCAAATTTGCAGTGGATATTGGCACGAAACTTCGTGGATGTGGGAGATTACTTCAAGCCTTCCATCTTTTGTGCCATTTGTTGGCTTTGTTATCATTTCAAACTTGAATTACAGAGCATAGTTTCAAGGTCTAGTCGTGTAAGTCACTTATAGACTTTTGGGTAATATATCTGCACCTGGAGTTGAAGTATTTCCTCCTTTTTGTCATATATCCGACAATGGTGTAACTTACCACATAACAAATACAGAATCGAAACACGAAAACAACCTTAACTAAGTAAGCTCGTTATAAAAAAATGGATCTAATATTGTCTTAGTGTGTCTTCAACCCAAACAAACAACACATGCAATTCTATCTCAAGGAGTTTCCAGCAAATTTTAATATTAGCATCTCACAAATTTTCACATCCTTTTTTCAAGCTTTAGAAAAGTGTCATGGATACGTTCACAGATGATGAAGGATAATTCCATCTCTCATACTTGACAGAAAATAAATCTTTTAACCTTGTACGATATATGATAACAAATCCGAACCCTACGATTTGTAAACGGGTTGGTGAAAGCATAAGCTTGTTTACATACTTCATACTCTTTACTAATTCTTGAGCGTAATTCTGGAGAGAAGATGGGAAAGACAAATAATATATCGGTTACTTGTGATAGTAAGAAAGAGGTAGGGTCGTAAAATTTCTGTAAATATAAAAGGGGAAATGTTGATTTGCTACGTAATGAGAACTTTTTGGTGAAAATACGTTAATAGGTTGTCAGAACACAAGGAATATCCATCGACACAAGATTAGTCAGTAATGTGGATACTCTGTGAGACCGAATGCAACCAAAGCTTATACAGGTTACATAGTTGTCAGCGGAAAATAAAACCAGAATATAGTAGAAATTGTGACGAGTAACATCTACACGGATGTTCTTCTGTAATTTTCTAGAAGACATAAGCCAAGCCAAACACTGTATACAAAGAAAATTTCGTGAAAGTCCAAATTCTAGAACTTTAGCTCGATTTAGGCTACTTAACTTTATGTTCTGCTTTACTCTTTTCTAGTGCAAAATTTTTGTGATGAACTTTTTACATGGATCATGTTGTGTTATAACTGATATTTACATTCATATGAATTCAAAGTAACATTGAATTGGTACAACTTCGAAGGAAATTTTAAATGTATATATGCTCCCTCCAGTAAAAGTGAGATATTCTGCATAAGTAAATTTAATAATTTGGTCCATGCCGTATTATAGATTTACAATTAGAATTACAATTGAAAATGTAAAACCAAGATATTTTTGTTCTTTAATTTTTACTTTTTACTTCTAAAA